ACTCCATTCCTTTTACAAGACAAACATTTCACTTTTCATATGAAATAAAAGACTGAAAAAAATTAGTTCCCGCTTGTGCTCACGCAAAAAAATAAAATAAAATAATAAAATGTGTCTATTTCTTTTTAATCTGTTAGTCTTCGAGATCTTAAAAAAATTCGTAGGTGTGGGAGGGGTCGTTGTTCGATAAAAAAATTCCGTTGAGGCGCATCATGAATGGGATAGTATTCCGTTTTGTTGAACATAGAATAAGCAGTATTTTAAAAATGGAGATCTGATGGTGGAAATGGAATAACTGTGACTCTATTCACTACATCTATAAAAAAAAAACATATTTTAAGCACTTCCTTTCTTTTCAGTTGAACCCAGGTGTATAGGATTTAGAGTAACAGACAGCCACTATTAATAGAAAGATAAAACATATTGACAAGTTGATGTAAAGGCTAAGACAAAGTCTTTGGAAAGATACAAGCGCAGATGAAGAATATGAGATTGGACTAGGAAAACCAGTTATTGGCAGAGTGAGGAAAAGTTGTGTGGGTGGGGAATTGTGTGACAAAATGCATCAGAAAAATCGCAAAGAAAAAAGGCATAATTATTTCGACAAACAAAGAATAAGAAAGAGCATTTCTGAGATAAAGAAAAGAAAAAAGTACAGCTTATAAAGGGGGTAGGCAAACAGAGATTGATAGACAGAAAGAGAGGCCAAAAACGACCAAATGGCGGGAAAAGAGAAACGCTGAATAAATAAAGAACGATGATCGAGTAAAAAACAGCGTTATTGAAAAAGATATATTATCAACGATACAGCATTAAGAGCGAAAAGGAGAAACAGAAAAAGGAAAAGAGAAAGAATGATATCGTAAGAGAAAAAAGTTCATTATATATATATATATATATATATATATATATGGGAGGAGATGTATAATAGTATCTGAAACAGGCTTCCTCATGTTAGAATCAAAGAAAGACAAAATTGTATGTAAGGAAAAATGCCTTGGTATTACTGAGGATATGTGGGGGAAACAAATTAAATTAGATTACCTTATCACCTCCAATGTCTAGACTCAAGAATGTGTCTATCCACCTGTTTGTTATATATACATATATGTATTTATATTAGAGCCGTTTGATGTTATGGGGTTTTAAATCAGTCCACCGAAACTAGAGAAATGCGCATATATACATTATACATAGTTTTTTTTTTATTACTGTTCACCTAATACAAGGCCTGAGAGCCACTCAAGGTAAAGGGTTACTGTGTAGAGTTGTATTAACGTAAGAAAGAACAAGAATTGAAGTTCTTGGTGTTTATGCAGGTAAAATAACGGCTAACTCGAAGAGGTCAAGATTTAATTAGTGGTTATCCACAAATTAAATTCGGAGTTCAGTTGGAGACGTTAGAAGAGTTCAGTCGGAGACGTTTGAAGTATAGTGTGGAAATAGACGTTAGAAAGAACTTGATACCCAATCCTAAACAGGAAACAAGGATAAACATCTGCTCGTTCAAAAAGACCAGGGAGGAGTGTGAACCGAACAATAGGCGAAACTATCTACTCCAACTGGGAGAAAAAATAATAATAAATGAATGAAATGAAGTGCAGGAGTTTAGGCGGAGACGTTAAAACACACACACACACGTACACACACACACACACACACACACACACACACACACACACACACACACACACACACACACACACACACACACACACACACACACACACACACACACACACACACACACACACACACACACACACACACACACACACACACACACACACACACACACACACACACACACACACACACACACACACACACACACACACACACACACACACACACACACACACACACACACACACACACACACACACACACACACACACACACACACACACACACACACACACACACACACACACACACACACACACACACACACACACACACACACACACACACACACACACACACACACACACACACACACACACACACACACACACACACACACACACATACATATGTAATATATATACTAGAGTCTTTTGTTTGTTTGGTTCGCTGTGTTTCACTGATATTGGGATACCTGGTTTGTTAGCTTCTGTTCATATATATATATATATATATATATATATATATATATATATATTATACATTGTTATATTAGAACATGTAAGTAATTACTACAAAATTGTACATTTTGTTTCGACGTTTAAATAAAAAGTTTCTTCAGGTAATTAACAACCATTACCCCATCATTTTTATTTATTTGAAGAGACGTTTTATATTTAAATGTCTAAACAAAATTTATTTATTGCTCCACTCTTGTACTGAGCCTTTAAATTAATGTTTTGAACGTTGGAATTTTATTCTTCGTCCTTTACACACACACACACACACACACACACACACACACACACACACACACACACACACACACATAAATATATATATATATATATATATATATCAACACTTGCTGCCTGATGTTTGCGTCTAACATGAAACAGCCTGAAGCCTCTGAGTGTTGACTGCAATGTTCATTTTATATTTATATTTACATACGCCCTGATATTGAGCACTTTATCCCATAAATATAGTACACCTTAAAACTATATTTCTTCATATATATGTATATATATATATATGTGTGTGTGTGTATATATATATATATATATATATATATATATATATATATATATATATATATATATGAGCATTGTTTAGAACTGTGTAAAAAAAATATTTAAATCAATTAATTTATATATATATATATATATATATATTATAAATTAATTGATTTAAGATATGGTTTTTTCATACACAGTTCTAAACAATGCTCGAGCACTATTTTGTAAAAATAAAAATATCTATAAGAACACCGGATTATATATCTTACTGTTCTTTTATATATATATATATATATATATATATATATATATATATATATATATATATATATTAGACCCCTTGCGGTCTGTAGTTTCGGTTTTAAAATCATCCCCATTTTTCTCTACCAGCTAATATAACGAAGTATGCTATTATAGTTTATACGATTAATGATGATATAGCATATGATCTTAGTCTAAGATTTACTGTTGAGAACTGTGAGATTAGAGCACTCTCAGTTTATTACCTTCTCAGTAAATCCTGTTCAGACTTGCATTTTTTAAGTCAAAACTACTGTCAGATGCATTGCAGTGCACCACCAGCGCGTTTACATTGTTGCTATGCAGAATATCTCCGTTGTGTTCATATAATCTTTTCTTTTTATTTTATTTATTTATTTATTTATTTTGAGTTTTCTGGATGTTTCGCCAATGTATATCAATGGGCATTTTGTACAGTTTATCTTGTATATTCCTGCCTCTGTTCAGTTGTTAACATTCCTCCAATACACGAATTAGTTCCTGCACAATGTCAAACCCAGAGCCTACAAAATCAACAGAATAAAAATACAAAAGAAATCCCACAAAACCCTACAAATAATAATAAGCCTGGCCACCATAACAAAATCAAAGACATTAATCGTACCCATCAACTCCATAACAGCCACCATCGAAAAATAATTGTCCAACAATGATATAAAATTCATCACCACCACCTCTAGAAGAATAAGAGATATAGTTAGCATCAAATGTGATAGCAATAAATGTTTTAATCGCTAGATCATCTACAGTAAATTTACGTCCAGGTTCTTACAACATTTCAACTTTCTTGGCAGATTGTTTCTTATCACAATGTACGATGCTTAATAACAAGTTATAAAAAAACATAAACAAAGAGAAAAAGAAACTAAATGTAATTGATTAGACCAGGGGTTCACTAGGTTCATCAGGGGGAATTACTGGGTTTCAGCGGAGAGGGAAAAATCTTTTTTTTATTTCTTGTTTATTTTTTTTTTATTTTTTATTTTTTTTATTTGCAGAATTTAGAGTCCATCATGTAAAAAATAACACCCCTTCAGGGTTCCACTTGGGGGTTTCTGTCTGTATTTACTTCCATAGCCTTTTCCGTGTTTGGATAGTAAGGCAGCGGAGGTTGAAAATCAGGATTTTCCATCCCCAAGATGGACTGCCTTCCTGAGCTGTCGAGTTCCATCAATATGATGCAGCTGGTCATGAGGCGCTAGTTTTCCGCCTTCGTCCATTCTCCGACTTGGAACTGGACTTAGTTATCGGAGGCTATTTGAGACACATGCAACAGAGACATTTCATAAACAGTGGAAGCTTGTAGATAGATAGATAGATAGATAGATAGATAGATCATCAAACTGAATTATATAATAAGAAAAGATTAATCCTATAAAACTGTGATAAAGTGATGCCTGTTATATAAGACTTGATAGTAGTGTTAATAGATCGAGACAAAGAAAGAAAAAAGGACGCAAGACGAACGAATGATGAAGGAAGAAAGAGATGAAATGTTTAGTAGAAAATACCGTCTTTAAAAGCTGTAGGATTCCACTCTAAGGCGGTGGAAATTAGACATTTTTGGTTTCCAAAATAAAAATATCGAAAATATCTTTTCCTTTTCGCCAATAAAAATATTTTAAATATTTTTTCGTTTTCTCAATAAAAAAATATTTAGAATATTTAAGATCTGTCCCTTCTTTGCCGGAGATCTCCGATGTGTTTCAAATTGGGAGAAGCAAACAGCAACTATTGATTAAGAGATAAGAACCTATTAGCAATTTGATTGATAAAAAGATAAACATAGACAGAAGATTAATCATAGATGAATAAAAAGAAGAGAGAGAGGGAGGGAGTGAAAGGAAGGAAGGAAGGAAGGAAGGAAGGAAGGAAGGAAGGAAGGAGGAAGGAAAAGTTGTTTAGTGAGGGGGATGGAGATAAATATTGAATAGCAAAAGGTTACGCAAGAATCATGAGATATGGGAGATGATGTGGAGGGAGGTAAACAAATAAGGAAATGAAGAGATGTTAAGATATGAGATAAAAAAAAGGAAAGAGAAAAGAAAGAGTAGATCATTTTGTAGAAACAAAAAAAGGAAAAAAGAAAGAAAGTATAAATAATGAAAGAAAGAAAGTGAAGAACGAAAAAAAGAAAGAAAAAACGAAAAAGAAAGAAAGGAAGAATAGCAGAGGAAAGAAAGAAAAAAGAAAGAAAGTTAGTGGACAAAAAATGAACGGAGGAAAAAGAAAGAAAGAAAAGAACGAAAGGAGAAGAAAGAAAGAAAGAAAGAAAGAAAGAACGGAGGAAAAGAAAGAAAGAAAGAAAGAAAGAAAGAAAGAAAGAAAGAAAGAACGAAAAAGAAAGAAAGGAAGAATAGCAGAGGAAAGAAAGAAAAAAGAAAGAAAGTTAGTGGACAAAAAATGAACGGAGGAAAAAGAAAGAAAGAAAAGAACGAAAGGAGAAGAAAGAAAGAAAGAAAGAAAGAAAGAAAGAAAGAAAGAACGGAGGAAAAGAAGAAAAAAGAAAGAAAGAAAGAAAGAAAGAAAGAAAGAAAGAAAGAAAAACGAAAAAAAGGAAAGAAGAATAGCAGAGGAAAGAAAGAAAAAAGAAAGAAAGTTAGTGGAAAAAAATGAACGGAGGAAAAAAAAAAGAAAAGAACGAAAGGAGAAGAAAGAAAGAAAGAACGGAGGAAAAGAAAGAAAAAAGAAAGAAAGAAAGAAAGAAAGAAAGAAAGAAAGAAAGAAAGAACGGACGGCATGGAGAAACTCATAGGAGAAAGAAAGAAAGAAAGAAAGAAAGAAAGAAAGAAAGAAAGAAAGAAAGAAAGAAAGAACTAAAAACGAACGGAGGAAAAGAAAGAAAGAAAGAAAGAAAGAGAGAAGGGAAGAATGAAAAGAAAGAAAGAAAGAAAGAAGGAAAGAAGAAAGAAAGAAAGAAAGAAAGAAAGAAAGAAAAGGAGAGAAAGAAAGAAAAAAAAGAAAGAAGTGGCTCACAAAGGGAGATTCCATAATATAAGCGAAACTTTGTTACTCGTCGAGGGCTTCTCCCTGAAGAGGAGACTTAGGGCAACAGATCTATTGTTCTACAGAAGGATGCTGAGAAGACCATGCATAGAACAGGCGGGGAACAAGGCTGGTTTAAGGAAAATAGAAACAAAACACTTCTTTAAAATCATAAAGAGATATTTGAAATATCTGGGACACATAATGAGGGAAGAGGGTTTGGAGAACTTGACACTCACAAGACTCACTGAAGGTAAGAGAAACAGAGAAAAACAGTGAGTACTCTACCTAACGAGCTTGTGTAAGTAGGTGAATGGTAGAACTGTGTGTAAAAGAGATAGTAAAAAACATTGCTTATGCCTACAAGGAAGTTGTGGGAAGCCATGATCGCTCACAATCAGAAGGAATGCGGTACATAGAAGAAGAATGATGTAAGAGAAAGCTCCAAAGAAAAAGGATTTTAAAACTTCAACAAGAAGAAAAAATGAAAGAATGAAGAACACGAATAAAGAGAGGAATAATGACTCCTTTTTTTACTAATCTTCACCCAATACAAGGCCCAAGAGACACTCAAAATAGATGGTTACTGTATGGTGTCATATTTAGTTTTCTTCGTCGAATGTATTGCAGCATTGTTGTGAATAAAATTTACTTTCTGGAAGAGAGTATGACCTCAAAGTATGTCTGTGCTATAGGAAACTCCCCATGTGCCCACCGTTTCATTACCAATAATTCCACGCCGAGACATTGAACCACCTCGGCTTGTTGACATCACAATCTATAAGTGCAGCTTACACCACGAGCCACCCAACCTTCTACCACTCGTCTGGCCCATCGAGGATTGCACAACATTGAAAAATCGACCGTCCTGTATTCTGTTGTCCATTTCATTCGATTTTTCTCATAAATATCTTTTAAAGGTTGCACAGAGATCGGTCTCACACATTTTTATTTGATTTAAGGACTTGCGTCTTGTTCTCTTGGAAATTTCCTTACTGCCACGACAGCTAAAAATGTCATAGCTTGACAAAGACTGATTATTTGTACATTCGCTTTTTATATGGGACAGATGTCGGCGTTAAAACTACTCAACTTGCCCTTGTAAACCGACATCGGGATCATCCTTAATTTTCAAAGAAATTCTTCACAAATTTGTGAAACCTACTGTTCGTTTTTGCAATTATCAGAATTGTTTTTACCATTTTCAAAATGTGAATTTACTAAAAAAAGTTTTTATCCAAATTGCAAATTTACAACAGGGGCCAGATTTAGATGAAGGGAGGCCCTACGCTATTCCACAAGTGAGACGCTAAGGCTATTCCACTTGTGAGGCCCTAGGCTATTCCACTTGTGAGGCCCTAAGCTATTCCACTTGTGATACGCGAAGGCTAATCCACTTGTGAGGCCCTAGGCTATTCTACTTGTGAAGCCCTAGACTATTCCACTCGTCAGGCACTAAGGCTATTCCACTCGTGAGGCACTAAGTCAATTCTACTTGTGTTGCGCTAAGGCTATTCCACATGTGAGGCCCTAGGCTATTCCTCTTGTTATGCGGTGAGGCTATTCCACTTGTGAAGCCCTAGACTATTCCACTCGTGAGGCACTAAGGCTATTCCACTTGTGATGCGCTAAGGCTATTCCACTTGTGAGGCCCTAGGCTATTCCACTTTTAAGACGCTAAGGCTATTGCACTTGTTATACGCTAAGACTATTCCACTTGTGAGGCCCTAGGCTATTCCTCTTATGCGGTGAGGCTATTCCACTTGTAAAGCCCTAGGCTATTCCACTCGTCAGGCACTAATGCTATTCCTCTTGTGAGGCCCTCAGCTATTCCACTTGTCATGCGCTAAGGCTATTCCACTTGTGAGGCCCTAGGCTATTCCAGTTGTGAGGCCCTAGGCTATTCCACTTGTGAGGCGCTAAGGCTATTCCACTTGTTATGCACTAAGGCTATTTCACTTGTGAGGCCCTAGGCTATTCCACTTATGAGGCCCTAGGCTATTCCTCTTGCTATGCGCTGAGGCTATTCCACTTGTGAATCCCTAGACTATTCCACTCGTCAGGCACTAAGGCTATTCCACTTGTGAGGCGCTAAGGCTATTCCACTTGTGATGCTCTAGGCTATTTCACATGTGAGTCCCTAAGCTATTCCACTTGTGATGCTCTAGGCTATTCCACTTGTGAGGCCCTAGGCTATTCCACTTGTAAGACGCTAAGGCTATTCCACTTGTGAGGCCCTAGGCTATTCCACTTGTGATGCGCTAAGGCTATTCTACTCGTGAGGCCCTAGGCTATTCAACTTGTGAGGCGCTAAGGCTATTCCACTCGTGAGGCCCTAAGCTATTTCACTTGTGAGGCACTAAGGCTATTCCACTCGTGAGGCACTAAGGCTATTCCACTTGTGAGGCACTAAGGCTATTCCACTTGTAAGGCACTAAGGCTATTCCACTCGTGAGGTGCTAAGGCTATTCCACTTGTGAGACTCCTCCAAATCCCCCATTCTCATGAGTAGAGCAAAATGGATGAGTGTTAAATTAAACAATTTGTGTAAAGCCGTGGATGTTGATGGGAGTTGAAAATTCCACAGCTGACAATTTCTCCTTTAAATGACATGTCATCGTTAAATACAGTATATTATTGAAAAAATGTATGAATGTTAAGATTTTTAAAAATCTTTAAATCAAACAATGTTATCGGCTTAAGACAGAATTTTCCTGAAATGGAACGTAAGGAAAATTACTGAAGGGTTGTTTAGAATCTTCAGTATGTCATGACAACATGTGTAAGAAATACTTATGACTGATAAAATATTATATACTTTGGCTGTAGGTCCCCTAAATATTGAGTCTCGAGGGTTCATCCTGCTAAGCCTGTAGATAAATGGGAAACTGTTTACAACGTATTTATTAATATACAACTTCAAAATTCAGAACTTTTCCATATTCTGGCCATTGGCAATCCCTTTCTTTTCTATTTGGCAAGTCATTTACACCGAAAATCACTTACAGTGCATCTATATTGGGCATATAATAACCTTCACCTGTCGGCATCGCTTGCATTAATCAATGTCCACTGACAGTATTTAATGCATTCGTTTAAAGACATTTCTGTATTAAAATAATAATGCATTTAAATTCCCCATTATACGAGGAGACGTTGAATCATTCTCAGTTTATCTCATTTCTCAAAATTTGACCAAATGGCATTACATTAGGGCTTCCTGACTGAGTAAAACATTTTAGTGCCCGTCATATATAAGAGCACACTTAGGCGTGATGCTAGCAGCAATGTAAAAGTTAACTATTGTAATTTCAACAGCATCACATTTTGCATGACGCAGTTGTTGGCCTTTGTTCCACAAGATTTATATATTATATATATATATATATATATATATATATATATATATATATATATATATATAATCAGATGTCTAGTCATATTGATGATCTGTGAAACAGCGAAACATTCTGGCTGTGGATGACAATATATACATGTTCCTAATGGAATCTTTGATAATAAAAAAAGAAAAGGCCAACTCTTAACAATATTAACTACGAACAAGGCCACAATGTGCTAACCGTATTCGGAAATTAAAAACATCCCTACCACACACTAAGACATACACAGAACGCACTCACTCAATTAAGCTGAAAAATCGAATCATCCTTGATAATGGCTAAAGGTATAGCCGAAAGCGCTCGGAAATATAAAACATTTGGACAGTTCTTACACACCCTTTGTCCAGAAAAGAAAGCTCTTGTCAGAACACAAGAAAAATTAAATAAAAAAGCTTAACCGTAGTACCTTGTCTGTCGTTTTTAATGAAACGTGCATAAAGGAAGGATTGCTGCCTAAATATATATATATATATATATATATATATATATATATATACCAGCCTAGGTGCCCGGTGTTGCCCGGATGTACATGGCCGCACCCTCCTGTATACCCGCTCCCCTGTCTAGAAATGTTTGCCTGCGTTCCTGCTTGCATGCATCATCCATTGGTATGCTAAGCTACTCCCCCTCGTCTTTTTTACGGTGTCATTCGCAAGTGTTTGATTGTCTATATCTATAAAAAAAAAAGTAGATGTCTGTCTGTGTGTGTATCTGTCTGTGTATCTGTGTGTGTATCTATCTGTGTATCTGTGTGTGTGTGTATGTGTGTATGCGTGCGTGTCTGTCTGTGTGTGTATGCTATTTATGCACGTCCACATTTCTCGACCGAATTCAATGAAATTTCGCACACATATTGCAAATTTACTAAAATAAGTCAAGACTAACTTTTCAATCTCCAGACCCCCCACTCGGGTCTGACAGAAATATTGATAAAACTGAATGTGGGTACGACTTTTTGCAAAAGACATGACAAAGTTACACGCGAACAAATTTTTTTACTGGATAAGTTGATGTTCTTTGCACTTAATGCAAAACATAGCTCATGTTACGAAGTTTATGTAGAGTGCGTGATAGTTTGCCTGCAACATTAGCTTCACACAAAAAATTGCAAAAAATCGAGTTTGAAGAAAATCGGATTAAAAAATGAGGAATTTATTCAAGTTTTTTTTTTTTATTTTTAGTACGAAAAACCGGGGATTAACTTATTGCGTCACCGTGTATCTGGAAAGTTTTCTGCAGCCGTTCACGAGCTTTTATTAACAGATCCTCAGTTCTAGACCTTCAAGCGATGGGCACAGAGCAAAGAACCAATCGGAGGTTTCTAGTCCGTCAGATGCACTCAGCCAACTGCAGCAAGTGTATGGTGATAAGAGATGTCGCGCACCCGGGTTTTCAAGTGGCACAAGAGGTTCAAAGAAGGACGCTGAATGTCTTCAATGAGCAGGAACGGGGCCAACGTTAGACGCATGAGGCAGGTGGTACGTAGCGATCGTCGGCTGACTGTTCAACTTATCGCAGGTAAGCTGGGCATGAACCGCGACAAAGTCTGGGAGATTATCACCGAAGATTAGGGCGTGCGGAAGATCTGCGCGAAGATAATACCGA